TTGAATGTTAAGTTCAAAGATTCTAAATATAAGAGTTCTAAAGAAAAAATTGAATGTTGTTCCAGGTCTGTTAACAAGATTAATTTTCCAACAGAAAAACAAAACGCTGCAACAGAATTTCAAATGCTGGAAGGCTGGAGGCAATGAGGCATACCATTAAACAATTTATATTGTACAATGCACATATTTAGATCGATACATCATTTTACACATAGTTACTACTTTCTAGCATTTAAATGAAATGAAAATCAGCAGCACCAAACACCAATTGCTGACTAATAACCCAAACTCTCCATATAGAACAACATTCCAAAAGCCAAACTTCAAATAACTAATAACACATCAAAATCAGTAGGCACCCTGAGCAACAAGAGATGCAATAGAATGTGGTACCCTTTGGTGTGATTTTTTCATAGTGAAATTCCAAAGCAACGTGCCTTGTAAATGTGAATATGTGATAATGAAGTAAAAAAATGAGCTTCATAGATAATATACTAGGAGTGTGGTTTTCCTTCAACTCATGCAATTGAAAGTGTTCTCTATCTGGTAGTTAAACTTCTTGTGACATTTTGTAGATATAACCAATCAACAATAGGCTATACGACAGTTTCTAGACTGCATTCTATAGTCCCTGAATAATCTGATTTAGTAGACCATATGATATACAAACAGCGCAGTCGATAGTAACTAACTTGCCTCAAGCTCAATATAGTTCCAGTAACACATATTTGGCCAATATCCTGGAAGCTAATTAGGATACTTCAGTCAAAGGATTCAAATGACTAGAGTCAAATAAGTCAATCTCCAAGCATGATATAAATTTGTATGGAGGAAAATGAGCAGTAACCAGAGTTTACCAAGAAGGCATACTATATCCAAGGCAGATCCAAATGATACAGAACAGGCAATAGTAGCAACCAAGGATTTGCAACCCCGGAAAGGCGGAAACCATGAGAAACTTTCGGGTTTTCTATGTTTCAACTATTGTCCAAATGCTACTTCCATTTCTCCCTCAAGCAGACTAAGAATCATAACACCAAGATGTAGCTTTCAAGGTACTAATCATTCTACAGTTCACAATTACTACCTACCTTTGATTTGAACGACAAAACCAGCTTTGTTTGAATAATTCCTAATTTCATCGTCCAACAAGTTGTTGATACATTGCTTTAGTTTTCTCTGCAAGCACTTCTATGTGAGAGCATTTATGGGCCAGCTATGGCCCCTGGATCAGAATTGATCTCAGCTAGAGTAACATTAAGTGGTTGCCAACCCGATTGATGATGCACAATCCATTTTTTATGGGTGACCACCATGTACAAAATCTGTAGGACATCACCCAAAACATGATCTTTTAAACACATATTCTTAATCACAATACCTGCTTCATACCTAGTGGAAAGATGAAGATGCATAAGGAAGCTGAGAAAATTATCAGGGAGTAAAAAGAAATTAGCAATTAGAAGATCCTTACTTGCACTGAGTACCCATTACTGCTGATCTTCCAGAAGGAGTTGATAGAAATGTTTGAATGTCATCTCATATTTCTAGAGAATACTGCTTGGGATTACCACCTTCAGGGTTCACACACTTCCAAACTTTATCATTCTTACCAACATATAACTGCAAAGAACCTATGTTCTGTTTCACCACCACCTGCTGCTCAATAGCACGCTCCAGAGCCTTCTTAACGTCAGTGTTGTGGTGTTTGGGATCTCCATAACGAAGGCAGTCAGCTATACTTGACTCAGTTGGCATGATTTTCTCAGTTTTTAGTGTATTCAAGGCAAGTAAAATAACCCCTATAAGACCTTGTACGTATTCAGAAGGTTTAGGGCGTCCTTCAGACCTCCATACACCATTACCAGGAACAATTTTGTCACCCATGGGTGCTGACGATTTAGATCGATAATCAGGACGATGTGGATAGCCATTGTGTGATTGCTGTGTGCTATGCACCATATGTCCATTTTGTTTGCCAAACAGCCTGACAGGATGTGGGGTACTACTGTTGGAACTCTGTTTCAACTTTCCATTCCATTGCTTAACCAGGCAAAGATCATGAGCACTACTGGGATACACAGAAATGTTTGGACCACCCGTATCCATCACATTTGTAAGCGGTACAGAGAAGCTGGGTCTACCACTCCAAGGTGGTACTACTGAAATTCCAAAGTTTTGGGGATTTGGAGAATATGAATTAGTTGGAACAAAAGGAGGTTGCAAAGGAGGATTTGGAGAATATGTGCTAGTTGGAACAAAAGGAGGTCGTGAAGGAAAACTATTTGATCTTAATGATTGTGAATGTAGGTTTTGATGATTTCCCTGTTGATTACTGCTATTGCTCCATAACATATCAGAATTGTCATGCATAAGATTTGGACCAGATACATTTGGGGAAATATTTGAGTTATGGTTTCCAGGTCGAAAATAGTTTATATTGTTACGATTTTCATGAAGCCCAACAGGAGCAGAATTCATGGCATTGGGTCCATTTGGTTTACTTGGACTTCTCCCAGCTGTCTTCCCCTGATGTCTGGAATCAAAGCCCCTTCCTATATGATCATCTGAATAGGAGTCCACATGTTGCAGTATGTGAACGGAATTAGATACTGGAATTGGTAAGGTATCTGAAGATGATTGGAAGGTATTATTACTAAGTTGTTGTAATTCACCATTAGTAAGAGGAGGTTTTCCAGCCAAGAGACTAGTCCAAAGCCACACGCTCTTAGCGGCTGCAACTAGGGGTGCTGATGCTCTCTGAGGTTGCGCAATGAGGATATTATATCTCCTCATCCGCAATTGATGAAGAGCATTGGAGAAGTCTCGGTCCCCCGAAATTAATAAATAATTAGCAGGTGCAGGATTGTCCACAGCCCAGAACAGCATGTCCACAAGAATCTTCTTGTCGCTAGCATCTTTAACACCTGAGGAAACATAAGTAAGACCAACGTCAAAAGAGAATATGAATAAATGCACAAATGGCTATGCCCAGAAAGCTTGTGACGCATTCAAGCCTACCCTAATGACTCTTCAAATTCCCACTACATAAGATACATGCATGATTAAATAATACAAAGAAAACAAATAGTAACTAAGCACGCAGACAAGGGAAATCCTACTGAAACACCAATTTGTCAATTCACATTCCCCGTAATGCAGATGACACTCCAGTTTGACTATTCAGACTCTCAATTGAGCAATCACAAGTTTAGTAATTTCGCATTTTACAAACTTATTTATCGTGTACATATACGCTCTTCAGACTCTATTGTGTCATTCTCGTGTACTATGCTGTACATTTTATTGGTTAATGTCTTAATGAAAGTGAATAGAGAATTGAAAGCTAAAGAGATTTTTGTTCTTTAAACAAGGTTTGAGTGAGTAGTGAATTAAAAAATATAAGTAAAGGGAGAAGGAAGAAGAGAGATTATGACCGGCGGGGACATGGTTGAGAGAGATGCCGGTGCTGGAGAGAGCTTTTTGAACGGAGGAAGTGATGCGAGTGGTGTCGCCGTAAGCGGAGATAGAAACGGGGCCACAACATTCAATATGAAAAAGAGCAGAGCTAATGTTCTGAGCAATGGCGTGAGGATCGCAATCTTTGGGAACTTGACAATTCTCAATATCCCACCACACTGATGTCTTCGCCGATGTATACTGCGCCTCCGCGTACCACGTTGCTCCACCTCCTCCCATCTTATATACTAAGCCACCACTACTACTACTACTACTGCTCTCAACAGGATAGAAGGGGTTCACTTGACGTTGTGGTTGTGGTCACTCACTCGCCCATCCACTTCGCTTTTTCCTTTGCCGTATAACTTACTTCCGTCAATTATTTATCGTACAGAATACGTTCAATCACATAATGTAATACTTACTCCGAAAATGTAATGATTTACGGGATTTGAATTTTCATAGGTAGTCCATTATAAATATAAAATGAATAGTTCAACTAATAGTTTAGAAAAGTAAAATATAAATGTTTGTTAAGTTTTTAACATATGGAATAACATAATAAAGTTAAAACATAAAAAAAATACAAAATCAAAGTTATAATAACAATTATTTTATTGATTTATGTCTTTTCAATATTTAAGGTTATACATATAATTTAATAAATGATTAATATTTGATAAAAATTCACAAAACTGAAATAATCTCATGAATACTGGAAACTAAATGAAAAATCAATTGAGAAATAAAGGTGAAAATAAACCTAATAGATAAGATTACAATTAGAATGTAAAATATAAAGATGTATTAAGTTCCTAAATTATCAAAAGGAATTAGACATAATAAAGTTAAACCATAAAAAATTATAAAATATGAGAATATTAACTATAACTTGATTCTATTGAGCAATTAATTTTTTCCTAATTTTTGTCTAATAATATGTTGGTCACTTAGTAATGTGTAGTAAAATAATATGATTTAGATAACAGAGTTAATATAATAATATACGTGTAATTAATATGCCTTCAAAATAAAATAAAAAATGACAAAAATAATAATATTGTAAAATCTTTTTTAAACTAAAAGAACACACAACTTTAAAAATGTAATTCTATTAGAATCAACTGGTAATTAGGATATGTTAAAAATTAATATTTGGAGAGAGTATTAAAAAATTAATATTCACAGGGTGTATAAAAAATATTAATGATATCATTCTGTTCAGCCTTTCAGAGCATTTTATTTGTAGAAGATATCCTTCTATAGATTGGTTACTTCAAAAATTTACTGACTAGAGTGCTCCCTTCATTGGGTATTCCACTATAGTAATGAGTTGTAATTTGTATTACATGGTTACGAATCATTTCCTGTGTTGCTTTGTGGATGTAACATAATATAATCATTATGCACATGTAAATGATGATTGTCCCGAAACAAATACATTAAAGATGAATCTGATGGTTAGATGAAAAGTTTTCCTGTGTTGCTTTGTGGATGTAACATAATATAATCATTATGCACATGTAAATGATGATTGTCCCAAAACAAATACATTAAAGATGAATCTGATGGTTAGATGAAAAGTTTAAGGAATGAAATTAAAAAAGTTGGAAAAAATAAATGGAACACAAAAGACACAATAACATGATATGCATGCACTCATACCTACTTAGACGAGAACAAACCTAAATACACATTCAGAGAAATAACAAATAAATAAAAAACAAATTAAAGCTTAACAACCTCAAACTAAGTAGTAGCATAATATTCTGATACTAAATCCAGAAAGAGAAACATTATTCATGTAGGTTCTCCTCATCTATGCATGTGGTGGTGACCCACCAGCACTTGGGATGAAAGGAAGTGTAGGAGTTGGAGTGCAGCCACCAGGGTAAGTGCAAAAGATGGATGGGCCAAACACAACATCACTGAAACTAGGGCTTGGAAATAATGTCCCAGTCCCACCAATGCCTCAAATGAAGTTCTGGGGATGATCCACTTTCTCTGCTTCCTTCAGTTTTCTTCCAGCTCCTTCAACATCTGAAGCAAGGATCATCACCATGATGAGCAAGGATAGCAATAAAAGCTTAGACATTATCTCCATTTTGAAATATTTTCCTCCAAACTCTCACACTCCATGCATCCCTTTTTATAGGTACTTGGATACTTGCATATTCTTCAGGTATTTGTGGTGTGGTCCTACACGTTAAGCTGTTATTTGTTAACACTACGTATTCCTAAACTAATTTTGCTCATTATGTAATTTTGGGTTGGAGTGATATTTAACTAAGGTCATGTAATGGCACCGGTGGAAAAAAAATCAAAAAATAGAAATTTAGTATTGTTTTTTAAGATATCGCTATATGTTTCCAAAAAAAAATGATGTATTGTATTCCTTAATTAACCCTGCCTTATATATTCTCCCATTAATTTTTCATAACCACAAGAAATTGACATATGTCATAAAGTAATATTTTATTTATTAAAGTGATTGGTTTCCAAGTGACATATATCTTTTTCTTGTGAATAAGAAAATTAATAGGGGAATTTAGTTGGAGTATTTAGCAGAATGATATAACCACCCTACATTATAAAAATCACTGTTCTTGGTAAATCACAGCTAGCACACAAGTAATAACTTTTAAGGTGACTTACTATTACCGTTGAGGAATTCATGAATGACCCAACTAACCGAAGATGAGATTCATAGAGGGGTTCCTAAAAATCTTTGGCCACTGACAGAGAAAATTAATTACATTTCCAAGTTCTTATACTGATCGTTACTAACTTGTACATCTACCCAGCTAATAGGTTTCCATAACCAGCCAAGGAAAATAAAGCAGCTCAGAAGAAAATTACTGGCATTGACACAGTAAATTAATGAAATTATGTTGTAGGGTTGTAGTCCAATATAAAACATTGTGAATTTGCATCACTTTATAGCAACTCAGAAAGTTCAATGAACAACTTCCATTTTCGAATAATTAAAGGTAATTAATTGGAAACCTATATCTACTACCTGCTTTTTGAGAATTTATCCTCTTATATATCATTCTATTTATAAATATAAATGATGAAAAATGTAATGATAATATAAAAATCTCTTAGTGTATTAGTGCATATATCTTTTTATCATGCATTTTTTAGAACATTAAAACAATGACCATCGGTTCTAGGTATGACATTTTTTCTACAGTTTTTTTATGAGATATGAAAAAGTATACCACTCTCAAGTTTGAATTGAAATTTTTATAGAGAAAAATATGTATATTTTGATGATGCATGACTTTGATATACTGTCAATGTATTATCAATCATTCACGTTTAATAAATAATATATTGATATGTATAGATATTAAACACATCATTTTATCATCTAGGTTGGCTAAGCTAGCTATGGGAGACATACTTGCTTCTAATTCTTATTTTCTTGGAGGATGACTTGATTTCTAACTTGGGTGCCTTAAAAGTTTGGGTTGATCGATGTATGTGTTAATTCCCTGAAATATTTGTTAAAGTTGAACTGTTGAAGCATGGAGAAGAGATCAAAACAACCAACAAATTTGCATGAACTTTATTATTTTAAAATAAGATAATGTAAGCATGTTGGCTCCTTACAAAGAAAGATGTGGAATTTGAGTGAAACTTGCTTGGAACAATACAATGATCTAGACTAAATAAACAAAAAACTCTTTATTATTCTATTATATAAAACTATATTAATTTTGTACATTTAAAATAAAATGTCAAGGTCCCGTAGCTCAGTTGGTTAGAGCGTTGGTCTTATGAGCCGAAGGTCGCGGGTTCGAGCCCCGCCGGGACCACACCAATGGTTTTATTTTAAAATTAAAATTCTGTTTAGTAGAAAGAAAAAACGACGTATATGACAAAAAGACACAGGTGTGAGTAACTAATCCTGACAAGATCAACCTCTTTCTATTCGCATTACAATCGGTGAGTCAACCTCTTTCTATTCTTCCTTCTCCGATCTCCACTTCAACTCTCATACTTCCTTTTTGCATTCTGTAGCACTTGTATTTAATTGAACTATTACTATAATTGTTGTGTAAAGTGTAAAATAAAATATGGGAACTGAAAACCCCGATCGTCCAACTTTACCTTTTAGACCATTCCAAATTAATCATCCCTCTGTGCCTCCTCTTCCTCCTACTACATTTAATGCCCCACCCACTCATGCACCTTTCCACCGTTTTCCAACGCCACCGCAATTTCCATCCACCGTTCAAACACATCCACCGCCACGTGTTCCGCCCTTCATGCAGCCATCATCAATTCAACAACCCCAGCCTCAGCCACATACACCTTTTGTTTTAATTCGTCCAAATGTTCCTCCTCCCGTGTTTCACCCATCTTTTGAACTGCAAGCTCCACCTGTACATTCCTCTCTAGGGGTTTATACACCTGTTCCAGCAACGTCTTCGCCTTTTTTATCTCGTCAAGGAGGTTATGTTCCGCCTCCACCCGTGGCAGCTCCGTCGGGCATCCAGGCACGAATACAGCAGCCCAGATATGGGCCGCCTACAGGTGCTGTTCAGGGCTTGATGGAAGACTTCAGTTCATTCTCAATTCAAACGCGCCCGGGTATCGTGGAGCCATCGGTTGATCCTAATGAATTGCCAAGGCCATTGGATGGTGATGTGGAGCCGGATTCATTGGCTGAGATGTTTCCCATGAATTGCAATCCTAGGTATCTGCGATTTACAACCAATGCAATACCGAGCTCCCAGTCCTTAGCTTCTAGGTGGCATCTTCCTCTTGGAGCAGTTGTATGCCCGCTTGCAGAATCTCCTCATGGGGTTAGTGGCTCATTGTCCTGTTTAATTAACAGTAGCTCATACTGATTGTGTTAATTTGCTTTGTTTATTGATATTCTTTGGTTTCAGGATGATGTGACTATAGTTAATCTTTCTCCGGGTGGTGTAGTACGCTGTAGGAGATGTCGTACATATGTCAATCCATATATGACATTTACAGAAGGCGGAAGAAAGTATCGCTGCAACATCTGTGCCTTGCTTAATGAAGGTAGTTTTTACAAAAGAAAATGGAAGCTATTAATCTCTACTGAAGAGATATGAAAGTGTTATTTGAAAGTAACAAAAACTTCAGCCTCCTACATTTTTTTAAATAACATGCTTGCTGGTTCTGAAAATTCATTACTTTTGTATTATTGCCATGGAATGTGCCCGAAGTGGCACTTGATAAATCATGCATATATTTGGCTTTTTACCTTTGTAAGGTGGACAATGGTGTGAAAGTATCATGGTGGCCAAACTTTCTCTCAGATTTTGCTGATTCTGTATATTGGCGCCAATAGAGTTGTGTGGTTTTGCTATCATCATGAATGGAATGCAACTCCACAATGATGAGAAATCCAGACTTATAACTTGCAAGCATAATTAAGAAATTCTATTCTATGATGAAAGTTACTTACTTGCCTTAAATGCATTTTGCATATATGAAGGGTTTATCATTATATTGTTAAGATGGTAATATATTGAGTAATATGTACAGTTCCTAGTGAATATTATGCACAATTAGATGCCACTGGCAAAAGGGTTGATTTGAATCAACGACCTGAGCTTACAAAGGGTACCATGGAGTTTGTTGCGTCAGCTGAATATATGGCGCGGCCTCCTATGCCTCCAGTATATTTCTTCCTCATTGATGTTTCCATATCTGCAGTTAGAAGTGGAATGATTGAGGTAAGTGCTGCACTTCTAGCTTTTTGGTCTTTGGTTGGCTTTTTTATTATCCATTCATTTGAGTGGCAGTTGCTTGGTCCATATTAAATATAGTTATGTTCAATTGAAGCTTGGAGGCAATGTATATGTTGTATTGCATTCTAAGGAAGTCCCAACCTGATAATAGAGTTTCCAGGAATGGTTTAAGTAAAAGTTTCCAAAATTACTGTAATATAAAGTACAAAACGTAGTGTCAGCTTCATAGTGCATCTTGGCGTTGTTGTCCAAACCTGCATATTTCTTGATAGCTGATGTTATTGTTTTTAATGCAGGTTGTGGCTCAAACAATCAGGTCATGCTTAGACGAGCTGCCTGGTTTTCCACGAACACAAATAGGGTTTGCAACTTTTGACAGCACAATACATTTTTATAATTTGAAGGTTTGCAGAGTACTATAAGTATTACAATTGTTAATATATCTCCCTCCGATTCTGTCTTCTCCTTAATTGGCTAAACTGTATGTTAATTATTCTGTGTTACACTTTCCCAGTCATCCTTGACTCAGCCTCAGATGTTGGTAGTCTCAGATCTGGATGACATATTTGTTCCACTGCCAGATGATCTCCTTGTCAACTTATCAGAATCAAGAAATGTGGTGGAAATCTTTCTAGATAGTCTACCATCCATGTTCCAAGACAACGTGAATCTCGAATCTGCTTTTGGTCCTGCACTTAAGGCTGCATTTATGATTATGGTAAGTTAGTCTCTTTTTTACCTTCTACTTTGTTTTTTTAGTTCTTATTATTTCCTATGCTACTTTCAATTTTCATTAATGAGCTTTCTTACACCGAATAGTTTGGTTATGATTTTCTATTAATTGAAATAGTGGTGCACATGATTTAAAATAATAGTTTCTGCAGTAGAGAATGAGCAGATAGATGAACATTCCTTTGGGATTGCTGCAGTCGGGGTAAGTTACATGAGATGTCATTTTTCTATTGTAGATTTCCTTGTGTTCGAGGTAGGGATTCTTTTAATCTAATTTTCAGAAATCTTCCAAACATGACAGTTAGAATTGGAAGATCCAATTAAAAGTAATGGAACCATGATTTCCAGAAGTTAAAGGGCTGTCCACTTTGAATTTGTGGGATTTCAATACATGTTTTCCAGTGTGTTTAACAAGTCCCCTTTTCTTTTGCATTAGTTTGTTGTGACCTTTTCACACCTCTTCATACAGAGTCAACTTGGAGGGAAATTGTTAATTTTTCAAAACACACTCCCATCTCTCGGCGTTGGTCGCTTGAAATTACGTGAAGATGATTCTCGCGTTTATGGCACCGATAAAGAACATATGTTAAGATTGGCAGAAGATCCATTTTACAAGCAAATGGCTGCTGAGTTTTCGAAATACCAGATCTCAGTCGATGTGTATGCATTCAGTGATAAGTACACTGACATAGCCACCTTAGGTAGACATTTACAATTTCTTCTAACTTCTCCATTCCACAAGCTTAAATAAAGGTTCTAATCTAAAAATGATGTTGGGGATTAGAAGAGTTTTGATAGGTATTTGTGATGATTCTTTGTGGACAAAGGCATAATTTTACAGCAGCTGGCCACAGTTTCATGGTTTTTTAATTATAAAAAGACACCTGATGTTGATAAAATTTGCTGCATTCTCTTATTGATTTTAAAATGCTCATGTAGTAGCTTGCAACCACTATGACCAGATGAATTTTGGTATTCTATTAGAAGTTCTACATTGTTTGGGCTTTTGAATAGTATATATATCTGAATGACTACCACGATTTCGCTTAGCAATGCTGATTGATGGTGCTGTGTGATTAATGTTATGTGGAATATCAACTACTAGTGACACTCAAGGACGTGTCTACCTAAAGAGTTATCTCCTCCTTTCTTTAACTGGATAGTCAGCATTAACTGATTATGTGATGGTGCATTTCGTTCTCTGCAAGCAATGCATGCAACCCCCTTCCCCCATAATTCTGTTAAAATTTGCTTCCCTCGGTCTAAGTATTCTTTGTAACTCATACTCTTGCATATTAATGGTCTTATGGTGACAAAGTGAACTATCTGCATATAACTTACTATCTATCTAGGAACTCTGGCAAAGTATACTGCTGGTCAAGTGTATTTCTATCCAGCTTTCCAATCAGTCATTCATGGGGAGAAACTGAGAAGTGAATTAAGGAGAGACCTTACCAGAGAAACTGCCTGGGAAGCTGTAATGCGAATTAGATGTGCAAAAGGTCTGTGCATTCATTATGTTTTGGTGAATTTTTACATTGCTTGTCCTCTTTTGTTTTTCTTCTCTCATTCAAAAAGTATATACTTATATAGATACATATACAATAGCTGAGAATTGTCATGTGCTTCTAGGTGTCCGTTTCACAACTTATCATGGAAACTTTATGCTAAGATCCACTGATTTGTTAGCACTTCCAGCTGTAGATTGTGATAAAGCCTTTGCCATGCAGTTATCTCTTGATGAAGCATTGTTGACAACTCAGACAATGTATTTCCAAGTCGCATTGCTGTATCCTTTCTTCATAATTGCTTGAGATGAGTTACAATGCATACACAAGTTTTCTGATAATTTTGGATAATTTGTTTTATGATACTATATTAATGAAAATAGATACTGTCATTCTTACACTGTAGTCATATATTTTAATCATCAGGCTTGTCTCCTTCAGATTTTGCATTAAGATGTTCTCCTTTCCGTCTTTCACTTGGAATATTACCAAAAAAATATTAACCTTAATTTATCATTTTATTTTTTATAGGACATTCAGTACATTTTGTCATGTTTGTTTTTACTATTACTCCTTCATTGTTTTACATTTATGCATGTATATCTTTCATGCTTGCTATTCAGTGGTTTTTGAGGTCATTATGGAAGGATAGGATGATTAGAATGTTTTTTTAAGAATGGTTATATCCTCACAACAGAATAGATATACTGCATCGTGCGGAGAAAGGCGTATCAGAGTACACTCAGCAGCAGTTCCAGTAGTAACAGACTTGGGAGAGATGTATCGCCTGGCTGATACTGGTGCAATTGCATCTTTGTTTAGCAGGATAGGTCGGGTAGCATTTCTTCTATTCTAGTGACATCATGTATATGGATCACGGTTGCTTTTGTCTTAAACAGTTCCTT